ATTATACAGAGGTTGGGGGAAAAAAGTAAACGGAGGTAAATAATTCAGGTGGGCTAATAATTCTGATTTATATATATGTATATATTTATATATATATATATATATATATATTAGTGCTGTCAATCAATTAAAAAAATTAACTAATTAATCGCACTTTTTAAAAAAAATTAATTACATTTAAAAGACTGAGACTTGTAAATTTGGCTATTCGAGTGTAAAGTTAATGTAAAGGCAAGACAAATACTGTTTAAATTCAAAATATAATTCATTATTAGAATTTTTGTTTAACTTGTAACACAGATTTCTTCATGTAAACAACATACCCACAATAAACCATCAAGATCCTGCTTGACATCCAAATTTATTACAGAAATTAAAACACAGGCATGTTAATGCCATTTGAATTTCAAAACAATCAATGCCAATAAAGAAAACATTGATTTCCATGTTGGATTCTATGTGGACTGCAAAAAAATGCCAAAATACAGGCATTGCAGGTATGGAAAATTATAATAATAATAATAATAAAGTATTGAAAATCTGTGCATGCCCCTGAATAGGTTTACCAACTCCCATTCTATAAAAGCACAAAAACCATATATAGGAAATAACGAAAGTTGACAAATTAAAAAACTACATTTTTTTGTTTATTATTAAAATAAAATTATAATCCACATTGGAAATGTGGATGCCTGTGTGTTTTGACATAATTTCTTCAAAAATAACAAAATATTTTTGAAGAAGCTTAGTCTACTAACTAAGCAAATACTAGGGCAAATAAATATAACAATCACTCAACTTATAACAAATTTGCACATTTTATCATGGTCTCGCCATATTCTTTGACATTTTATCATGGTAAAAACCACATATTCTGTGAGGATTCTTGGATTACTATGTAAAATACTGGGTTGTTGTAACCCAACTTTGCATCAAATACAAACAACCTCAATCATTGGGTTAAAAGATGTATAATTAAAGGTAAATTACAGTAATGTAAATGTTAACCCAATATTGGGTTACAACAACCCAACATTTTGTAGAGTGTATTGAATTTCAACATAGAACCATGCTCGATATCAATGTACCATTGTATAACAATGATGTTTTGGACATTTACCATGGTAAAGCCATATGTTATTTTATCAAAACAAATTGAGAACCATGTAAGTACCATGCTACAGTATATAAATACAAATCCTTTTCGTACCCTGGTATTTACAGGTATCAAAAAACCATGGTATTAACACACTAATTGGACTTTTACAATGAAAAAAAAATTATCTTAAAAGAACTAAGGTGAACATAGATGAGAAACATTTGAGTATGATGTAAAAAAAAAAAAAAATATATA